TTGTGAAGCAAAGATTTGTTCAATGCCAAAAGTGACCATACAATGTTTATAAAACATTCTTTTACAGGAATAATGGTTGTTCTAATTGTTTATGTGGATGACATTGTGATGGAGGACCACCCTTAGAGCTTCATGTGGGATCCATTACTAGGTCTATGGCTAAGAGAGTGGAGGAGGATAGAGGAGACACCATGCCTAGAGCTATGCTCATCATGTGTTTATAGTATTGACCCTCTCCTAAGTCCATTTTGAGTAGTATAGGATTTATTGCTTTTATTCCCATTTTACCGTTCTATTTTGGGGTGCCTTAGATGATAAGATTTTATTTTGTATTTTCATTTAGCCTTTGTATTATGGAGCAAGTTAGTTTAGGATTTATTTTTGGGCTTAAACCTTAAACCTTGACTTGTGAGGTCAAAGTCCACTTTTTTCTATTTTTAGGTCAAAGGGTATTTTAGTCTTTTTAGGAGGAAAGGAACCCACACCACATTTAGGGTTTATTTAGGGTTCATTTGACATGCATTTATCGGCCAAGCACCTCCAAATGCAACCCTAGATGCTTTCGTTCCCCTGTATATACCCTTGGCCTCCCACCTTGTGCACACTTTAGAATATATGATATTAAGTGAGCATTATTTTGCCTCAACATCCTTCCTTAGTCATCTAGGGTTTCTTCGGCCTAAACCTCTCCTCTCAACTTAGAGTTAGTGTTAGGTTTTCATTGAGTGGCCTTCATCCATCCTTGGTGAAGTGTGCCAACCTAGAAAACCAAACACCTTCCACCTCCCATTCATCTTCTTCGCCCACCATCATCATCTTCACACCCAGCCTTGTTCTTTCTTCACCCTTGGAGAAACATCCAACCCCTTGACTTCCTTTTAGTTCGTGGAGAAGAGGGACCTTCCTCCTTGGAAGCCATTGATCTCACCATGGAGAGAAGCAGCCCATCACATTGTGATTACTAGATATGATTTTAATGAAATAAATGAGTTGAAAGCTTCTCGTGCAGCTGAGTTTGGGATTAAAGACCTTGGATCCTTAAAATATATTTTGGGGATAGAGGTAGCAAGATCAAAGAAAGGAATTGCATCATAGAGAAAATATATTCTAGATCTTCTAAAAGAAACTAGGATGATGGGTTGTAGGCCAACTGAAACTCTTATAGATCCTAATAAAAAACTTGGAAGTGAAGAGCAAGGTGATCCAGTAGATAAAGCTCAATACCAAGATTAGTGGGAAAATTGATTTATCTATCTCATCCTCGACCAGATATAGCCTTTGTAGTAAGTTTAGTGAGTCAATTCATGCACTCACCACTTGAAGAACACCTTGAGACAATTTATAGGATCTTCAGGTATTTAAAAATTGCTCTAGGAAGAGGATTATTTTTTAAGAAAACTGGGCAACAAGAAATAGAAGTGTTCACTCATGCGGATTGGGTTGGATCCATTGCTGATCGAAAGTCAACATCTAGCTATTGTACATTTGTTTGGGGAAATTTGGTTACTTGGAGGAGCAAAAAATAGAATGTTGTGACTAGAAGTAGTGCAGAGGTTGAATATAGGGCAATTACACAAGAGGTTTGTGAAATTTTATGGATTAAAAGAATTCTAGAAGAGTTGCAACTTCCTATGACTTCACCCATGAAGTTGTATTGTGACAAGGCTACAATTAGTATTTCCCAAAATCCAATTCAACATGATCAAATCACGCATGTAGAAATTGACAGACATTTTATATCAATGAGAAGGTGGATGCAAGCCAAATTATGTCATTTGTTCCTTCTTCATGGCAAGTGGCAAACATTCTTGCAAAATGACTATTTAGACCTAATTTTGAATTCTTTGCTAGCAAGTTGGGCATGTTAGACATCTATGGACCAATTTGAGGGGGGTGTTGACAATCGAATATACTTTTATTTAATTGTAAATTTGGGTAGTTAAGATCAAAATCAGACTTACTCTGATTTTATTTTATTCTCTTTCATTATAGGAGATTTAGTTAGATGGGATCAATATCAGATTATTCAAATCTGATTTGATTCTCCTTTATTTTATTCTCTTTATCTTAGCTTCATTTATTTTGTAATCGGGGCTTAACATTTCTTCGAATCAACTTTTTCTATATAATCCCCTCATGTAATTCTGATCAATGTACAAAACTAAAGATCTTTTTCATCTCTAAATTACAAACATAATATCCCCTATTCACACCTATCTCATGTATTTTTCCTATTTAATAAACTTCCACTGTGTAGTTGAGACACATATGTCTGCATTTCCCATCTCTTTTTCAACACAATATTTATAGCCTAATTAAGACACCAAACAAATCCATAATAACCAAAAGACCCAATGTCAATAGTGAGAAGAAAAAAAATTAAGGCACACCAAGTTCCTTTTTAGTATGCCCTTTCTAGCTATTTTTTTGGCCACTTGCATTGTCCTCGCCACCACTCCGACAACCTTTCCAACTACGAAGACCACCATCAACCTCGTCGTCTGTTGATTTACATGGCGTTGTTGACAACATAGTGATAAAAGATCTCATGCACATTTGCTTCGCTAGCCAAACAACCTCTTTGCTTACATGTGGTAGTGTTTGTGAACGTTGTTTGGCTTGGGATTTTCAACAGAGGTTTCCCTTCCTTGGGTAACATAACATGAGCCCTCTATAACTATTTGGAGAAGTTGTCAAGGCTTGCCCCTTCCTCTCTCATCATTATCGGTGTTGGTTCCTCAAATTTTTTATCATGCTCACTGCTCATTCAAATCCTATTAAGCCCGACCCTGCTATACTCTCAAATCTGCCAACATAAACAAAGAAATTGGACAAGTCAAATTACACCATGTGGGCCTCTGATGGGTTAGGGGCCAAGGACACAAAGACCACCCTACCAACATTATCGCGTACCTATCAGCCCTTGATTGAGCCAAGTGGGGTTAGATTAATGCCCAATTATGCAGTGTCATCAAGTCTACTCGTCCCTTTACCAAACCTATCTTCCGACCACATTACGTGTGAAATGGTATGTGAGGCTCATGCTCTTTATACAAATGACACTCAACGACTATATGATGTGTGCTTAATCTTAGAATAGTAGATTTAAGCCTAACTCAACCCTACAAAACCGGCTTGTAAGATGAGGATTGCTTTCCACTTATATACTATTCAATTGCCTAATCTCTAGTCGATGTGAGACTTGGATTTTTTCCAATACACCCCCTCACGTCCAACACTATCGGGCTTGGTACGTGAATAAATAGTGGGTGGCCCTTTTAATGATCTAGGATTGGAAGAACTTGGGTTTTTCCCAATACACCCCCTCACGCCCAACATTATTGGGCTTGGTACGTGGATAAATGGTGGGTGACTCATTTTTAAGAATCTAGGATAGCTTTGATACCATCTTAGAATAGTGGATTTAAGCCTAACTCAACCCTACAAAACCGGCTTGTAAGATGAAGATTGCTTTCCACTTATATACTATTCAATTGCCTAATCTCTAGTCAATGTGGGACTTGGATTTTTCCCAATACTTAATGACCCTCATTGCTCCTCATAAATTTGATGGCCAATTATTGATATATCTAGGAAGAGTTCATACCGCCTTTCATGACTTTAATGAACTTTTACCCCCCTATTGCTACTACTTCAACAAAATACAAAATGGAACTTGAGAATAGGAGTACTTTTTCATGTCGCTAGCTCTTTAAGGGTTGTCCCCAAAATATTCCACAAAATGTGACCAGATTTTTAGTTTCTTGGTGATTCTTAATATGACCACTACATCATTTACCTTTCTTTGGATCTTGCAAAAGATACACTATAAAACCTCTTAGCAAACCCCTGTTAATATTTCTACTCTTGCACCTCAAAATCATAGCTCAAGTAGGTCTTATGGTGGGTTATCCCACTCTAACACTCAACCCAAATGTGAGCACTACAATTGACTTGGTTACTATTGACCAGTGTTGGAAGTTAAATGGTAAACCATGTGTGCTACCAATGTCGCCCAAGCACCTCCCCCTGGTGAAACATCATAGTCCATTGAGCCTTCCAGAACCACACCAGCAATCATTGATGATTTCTTCAAGTGGTATGAAAGTTGCCAAAACCCTGGCACTACTCTTCAGTTGCACACAAGTAATTATTTTGCTCACCTATCTACAACCCTTCTCTTAGACCTTGCGTTATTGACTTTGGTGCCTACCATCACATATCTGGTAATCATTTTTTTATTTTCATCTCTTTATACAAATAGACATTTACTAAGAATTAACTTTACCAAAATGATACCCAAACTCAATCTCAAGGGATTGGTACTACTCACTTGTTACCCTCTCTAACTATACTTTGTCCTTTATATACCTAATTCTCCATTTAACCTTCTTTCTGTCTCTCGTCTAACCAAATTCCATAATTGTTCAATCATTTTTAACAAAGATATTGTTATTTTGTGAGACTAGAGTTCAAATTGGCACCAAAGGATACTCAAATATACTGAAGGTACTCTGAGAAAGGATTACTATATGAAGACAAAGGTCACGCTCAAATAATTTGATACATAGATGTTGACTAGGCAGGCTCACCTAGTGATAGATGATCCACTTTTGGATATTGTGTACTTGTTGGAGGAAAACTAGCATCCTAGATAAGTAAGGAGAAAGCATCACTAGTTTTGATTTTAGTGGTGATCAACTGGCAGATGTCTTTACAAAATCTTTGAGTGGACCAAGAATTGATTATATTTGTAACAAGTTGGGTACTTATGTATATTCTCCAGCTTGAGGGGGAGTAATGAAAATCAGGAAAGGATATCTTTTATTTATCATAGAATAGGAAAATATCTTGTAATTAAGGGAAACATAACATTCCCTATTCATACCTCTCATGTATTTCTCCTACTTAATAAACTTTCGTTGTGTAGTTGAGACACACAGATTCAGTCTATTATGTCTCTATTTTTCATCTCTTTCAACAAGAATTAATGTATATACCTGGCTGGATGAATATCTGGTATTGAAACAGGACGAAGTTGATCATTGTCTGATAATGAATTGCAATTGCTGTGAATCCATGGATAAATTGTCCACTCACCAAAAGTTTGGGATCTTAAATGTTCCATCAAGCCAATTGATTGAGAACCCAAACGAGAAAAGACCCAAAAATCAGAATAGCAATTATCACTTTGTGATTTCAAAACAAATAAGTATGCTGCAACATCAACAAGATCAACATGAAAAGACAGCCTTATTCTTACTGGTTCAGAATAAAACTTGAGCATATCATCATGTAGTATGAAAATTCATTTCCTTGACTAATAAATCCTACATCATAATATGATGTATTAGTTATTACATAAGCATACTAAACATAATTCTTATGTAAGCCCAACAATACATACGCACCAAGACATGAAATCTCCAAGGCCAGCCGACCAAGTCCAGCACCGGGAACTAAACATGTAGGGGGACTGTTTAAAAAATTCCATGCTTTTAGTGAAAAAAACAAATTGGGCAAACAATCTCCAACCCAAATAAGAAATTTCTGCAAGTATCACTAACAAGAGTGTAAAATTATACCTCTCTTTACTGCGATTAGGGAATAACATATTAAGCTCTTCAAGTATTGGGGTGTAGCACTGATCTCGTTCTCTTTTACCCTATTACAGTAAATTCACAGAAGCAAAAAAGTGGATGACAGACCAAGCTTTTCATATGATAACCAAAATTAATTTTTTTATTAGAAAAACAAAGAAACAAATTAACGAGCAGTACCTCTGTTGCCCAGTCCCTAACTATGTTCCTTATTATACATCTCACCTGAGGTAAAGGCAGTATAAAAATAAATATAAGCAATGAAACCATATAAAATCATCACTTCACCAGAATTCTTTTACCAAGGGAAAATTGCAAATTACAGTGTCATAAGAGGTTAAGTTAAACAGCAGTAAGCCAGTAATGCCTTCTCATGATAGAAGATAGATTTATAAATTATTTTCTATTTGGATAAATTTCGACAGAAACACTTATAAGAGAAATAGGAAGAAAATTGAAACAAGCTTCCACACAAGCTAAAACTAGCTTATGCTTAACTTAAAAATAAGAAATTGAAGAAGCTAATAGAAGAGAGTTTCTACAAATTAGCTTATGCATAAGCTAATTTCAACTTAAGGAGAAACTTATTTCATTTTTTCTTCCTATTTTCTCTCCTACAAGTGCATATGGAGAAGTTTACCCAAACAGACTCTTGCTACAACAAGCTACTTCTTGAGAAAATGGATTATAAGTCTAACTCAACATCACAAAATTGGCTTATGAGGTAAGAATTGTTCCCCGCTTATATAAATTTTTATGGCCTTGTGTTATCACTAGTTAATGTGGAATTTCCAACGCACCTTCCTCACGCCAAGGATTAGACATCTCATAGCGTGAAGTTTGCAGAACTCGACATCTGCAGATGGTTCTGCAAATGGCCTAATAGCAGCTTGATAGCAGGTGACATGATAGGCCAAACAACAACCAATAATCGCTAGGATATAGACTCTAATACTTATTTAAGAAAGTAGATTATGGGTCTAACTCAACCTTACAAAATCAACTTGTAAAGTGAGAATTAATTTCCACTTGTATACATTATTATGGTCTTATAATTAGTCGATGTGAGACCTTTAATACTACTCTGATGCAACCAAATGCAAAACAATAGTGTCAAGTTTATTTTCTCTCATCTTACCTATTTCTTTAACTTTCATAACTGCCCAAATCATAGTAGTCAATAGCGGCCGGAGCGGCCGCT